CAGATTAGGGTTACATTTTCTCGGTCGAACTCTCGGTAGGGGACAACCGTAGTACCGCATGTTTTGAAGGTTTGTTTCTCAAATAACAAATTAATAGTCTCGAAACTAAAGGTATAACTACGAATAAACCATGTTGGCATGCAGCAATTCCACTTCCAGTGGTAACTAATATTGTCCATAATATTCTATGATTGTTCTTCTAAATTTGGTAGCAAGCGGTCCCCGAAACACTTAAGAAAACCGTCTTTGTTCATTTCCCATGGTAATCTGGATCTTTGGTTCTTGAAACAAACAGTAAAAATTCTCCAGGATAAAACCGTTCATGTTTTCGGCTTGTAAAACCACATATCATAAATAGTAATTAAGACGATATTGTTCCCATAAATACCAGTATGTTACCTGCGTCCCTCGGGTCGTTTTGCCAAGACTTACATATTGTTCCATTTTCAAATACTCACGTTTCATCCAAAAAGACACATTGGCGTCCTGCCTCAGATTGTATGTTTTTTACATATGCATCTAAAAAATGAATTTCTGATAGTGCAATATTGGATAACTCCATTAAACCTTTTCTTCGATTATCTTTTTGATATCGATTCGCAATATTTGCAACAACTTTTCTTCAGGGACTTATTCTAAAATACAAATGTAAACTGCTTATAATATCTACACAAATATTAATTTACAGTTTACTTAAACGCCTATCCACATTTAGCCATTGAACTTGCCGTTTAATTTACTATGTTAGATCATGTCGCAGATGGAGTTCCGAATCGCTGCTTGTATGAAACCATCAACTTTCTAGAGGTCTTTCCGATTGATAAGTTTGTGAAAAATAAGTCACTGTTCGCTGGCTAATATTTAATGCATTCGCAACTTTCTGTGAAATGAAACCTGTTAGTCGCCTTGCTTACTTTTTCTTGTTAAACTCGATGGCATTTTTGGGTTATAAAACTTTTGACGCAAAATATCGCAGGATTACTCAAGTTATGTTGCTATATTTGTTCGTTATGTAACTGAATTGGCTAATGTAGTAAAATGCGTTAAAATAATGAAAACGGTCGCAAATACTTGTCAAATTTGACACTAAAGGTTTTATTGTTTAAATAACGCACAACTTTGCGCTCTGCCTCAAGAACGTATATTTTGTGAACTGTATTCATCTATCTAATATAAACACGTGATGCCAACGGCTATTTTGTTAATACGTTGGCATTATAATATTCCCCAAAAACAGAATTGATGTCGTTCGCGTAAAATAAGGTAAATACTACTACAGTTTACTATCAAAGCAGAATTTCTCAATCAAAGTGACACGAGCAAGTTTCTATTTGCATACACCTAAACCGTGAAATCTTCTATTACAACACACAATTTAATGAACTACAGTTATATGTACAAAGTATAATTTTCATTCACTTAAACCATTAGTAATATTTCGAAATTAGCAAAGAAGGGGGTAAGTATGCCAAAAAAAATTTAATATATTGACGGTTTGTGACGTACGTAATTAACAGTTAAATTTTAGATGTAGTAAATAATATAAACGTTTCATACTGTTAATTACCCTTGGTAATTAGAAAATTCCAACACGTCGAGTTACCTATTCATTTAAACTTACTTGTTTGTAGGGGTGGTCTCTTTCTCTGCGCTTACCTACTCATTTCGCAAATCTGGGTTAATAGCTGTGCCGGATTGCAATGAGATGTGTGTATAACAATTCAAGATATTAATCGATCTACATAACTGCTATAGTTCCATCTATATTTAGCAGTGATCTCTATATGGAGTACACACTTGGTATTGGGTGTGTCGTTCGAAGAAAAAACATGTTTATGTTGTCATTTGACCACAGGTGAGAATACATCTAAAATTCCATAACCTCATCGAGAGCAAGATTTCACATTCCTCAGCATCTATTATTTTTAGCACAAGGGAGCAGAAATAAAGTTAATTTTTGGAGTTAGTTAATAAATTCGTTGTAAAAATTTAATTGGGATAATTTGAAAAGCGTTTTTTATTACGCATAATAGTCACATATCGTTTAAGTAACGACATCGGAACAGTTTCCGAACGTATCGCTTAATTAATTTTATTGCTACATTTATAACAGTGTAAAATGTCAGGAAAGTTTAAATATCGAAAAAAGCGCCCTGAGCAATTGATTTTAATTTGCTAATGCCGGCCATAAATCCCGTATAATACTAATAACCGCCTTTAAAAAGAATTATTGAATTAGATGGATCTTGGCGAGAAATTTATAGTTGTACGGATTTTTTAATAGCGATTCTGGGATCATGACTTGTTCGCGTACTACGTAAAGATGTGAGAATAATGAACTCGTAACTATATCGATAAATTGCGCATACCGGAACCCTATCGTAAAGTTTGGAATTTTCAGATTCCGTGCGAATTTCTTGGTAATGGTGAAACTAATTAGCACTGCGGTTATTTGTACTGAAATTAATTATAAGGAAACATTTGAGTTTACTAGAATTTTTCGCAAATTCGAAAGTTAGTTGTATAACTTTTATTTATTCGTCTCTATTATTACTAGGCTAATTTCTCACCTAAATCGTCTTCCTATACTGATTCTATTCTAAAAAGTGTGCTAAATCCTATTTCCTATTTTATATCCATATCTCAAATTCTACCAAAGTTACAGGGACCTTCACTTTTGCTTTTGTTGTGGTTATGGCAGGCCTATCTTTGTGAAGAATGGCGATTTGAATTGGAAAATCACGATAACATTGTTTAACTAATTATCTGAGCGTCTTTACGCGAATGGGCTAGGGCTGTATTCTTCTTGAGGTACAGTTATTTTTATATAATTCCTCTTTGTTAACACGTTTTTTTAGCTTATGTCATATGTGTTCATTTAATTACCTATCTTTATTTATCTATCTCGTAATCTGAAACCCATTTATTTTTATCTGTACCAATGTCGTGACGATTTTCTCTGCAATTAAATGCATTGAGTACAAAGTTGCAGTTGTTTCAGTTTTATTTAATTAATGTACTTATCTGTCTATCTGTGAATGAGATTAGATTAAGTTACCTATAGCTTCTAAGTACTCATCTGAGCTGAACATTTGCATTTAGTTAAGTGTATTCTTGCACCGAATTCCTACTTTATTTGTTGTTTTATAGAACCAAAAATACTAATTTATTTACCGTTTATGCAATTAAATATTATTTGTGTATCTGGATTGTTCACTGCCAAGACAAAGGTTATTACCCATTGGTACCCGAGGATTCACAAAGCTTGTATTTTTAATTTATTTTTATTTTATATGGTTATTTACTTTTTAGCGTGTGACTTGTTGTTTAAAATTTAGTTTGAAGCTTCATTCACTATTGATATTTTACCGAAATCGCGGCTTAAAGCATTTTTTATACTCTCAGACTTCAGAGTTTTTTAACTCTTGACTTTTAAGTTGAAATATAAAACTACAAAATAATGTCCTTCAAACTTTGCTCAGAACCATACACTTCGACATTTGGCTTTTTGGTTTCATTTTGAAATTCTGTCAGCATATATTCAGTTACTAGTGGTTTCCCCCTATTTCGACTTCGATGAAAACTCTTCTGCCTGTTTCCCGACCTGAAAATGGACCGGAAGGGAGACATTCAAGATGGTATCCAATATGGCGTTTTTTGAGCCACCCTGGCTTATTCGCCGTCAAAAATTTGTACAGTTCAGGGTTCTAGACCCACATTTCTGAAGTTAACACAATGGAAGGATCCAAAATGAGGCCGGAAATGTAAAACCCAGGGTAGAACCTCAGTTTCTCACATACATTTGGGCCAAATGGTTTTAAAAATGCCTGTGCCTACCTTTTTTTCAGAATGCCATGAATTCTGGTATGCGGACATAGGTTTTTGGGGTCAAGGAGCACAATGGAATGGAAAAAAATCAGACCAGATAGAAAAGGTAGAAAAGTGCTTTCTCCTATTTCGGCCGAAATGGCGCTAATTATTTGAATTGTTCTAACTTCTCCAGAGTGCACTTACATTCAAGTTTCTTATATGTTGGTGTAGGTTTTCTGAGTTAAGGAGCACAATGAAAGGGTCAAACAAGTGAGGGGAAGTGACAAACCGCGATGTTTCATATTCAGGCCGAAATTATGCCAAAATTTCGAAGTATTGCTACTTTTCTCATAATGCTCATAGTAATTTGTGGACATATAGGTTTCGGAGGTAGAGGAGTGCCATGTAAGGTACTAAAACGTCACCGGAAGACAGATTTTGAAGATGGCGACTTCTTGGGCGTGTACCATTGAACTTGTTTGGCACTAAGAATACCTCATATTGAGAAAGCGGAAAATTGGTTGATAGCAGACGATATAAGTAGAAAGTTCATTGCCCAATCAACTGTATAAGAAGAGGTAATCGTACAACATATCCAGAAAACTTTAGCAGTATTCCTTCCGGTGATCCAATTTTTGTTCTGTCTTATTCAGACCAAGACCGGCTACGGTAACAACTGAGAACACAGATTTGATTGATTGCTATAAACACATTCCCTGGAAACAATGATCTTCCTAACAAATTTTTCAATTTCTGGCACTCTTACCACATATTATGTCGTGTACCTACGTTTTGAGTGTTTTGACAGCTTGCAAAAAAACTTTGCTTATGCTAATCATTCGGTATGAAGTTTCGTGGCGCTATTCATATGGTAAAAAAATCTATTGAAATTTAGGTTTACGCAAATAAATGCTATGTACTTTTTATACAAACACCAATTTTGTTGTTTACACAAATAAACGTGGACGCGCTATTACGTAAACAAAACTTCAGTTTTTATGTATGTAAAATTACTTGTCAATAACAATCATGTTCGGAAAATAAGTTATTTTGTAAGGAAACCCTCCCATTGACACATTGTGGATATAACTTAATAATAGAAGGTTAGAAAATTATTGCGTCAATCTAAATATCATGTTTTTTCCATGCTTATCGTGGGTATAAATTTTTGGCACTCCATACATTCTTCACCTCTCGTTTGAAGTTGCACTAAAGTAAACATGAATTTTCTTCCACTCTGTTTCTTAAGCATCGCGCTTATGCTTCCACTGGGTTTGAATGGAAATGTGATAGTCTTAACAGAAACAAATTTCGATGAAATTACTTCGCAAAACAAGATTATGGTTAAATTTTGTAAGTATTTGTGTTAATTATATTCCACGGAACACATTTCCGTTTTAGATGCGCCCTGGTGCGGTTACTGTGTGCAAATGAAGAATGACTATATGAATTTGGCAAACAAATTAAAAGATGAGGGCTCGGAGATTAAGGTGGGCGCAGTAGATTGTGACCAACATGGTCGCGTGTGTAAGGGCGTTAAAGGTTTTCCAACCTTGAGATTCTATCGAAAGGGATCTTCAACCCTCGATTACACAGGTACATTATGCTGACCATAAAGTAATTGAAAATGATCAATTTTTGTGCAGGACAACGGACCGTAAATCCCATGTATAAATTTCTAACGACTAACGCCTAGAGGAGCATAAAGTAATGTAACCGTCCACTGCCGCATAAAACACTTTTGTACAACTTACGGACAGGAGTTTGCTGTTACTTTTTGGAATACGCATATATTTGAAAAATAATGTTTAAAAAATTTTATCCACTGTTGGTAAGGATGAGTTACGAACGGCATAATTAAAACGTTTGAATTTCTGTTTGGTATTTTTAAGTCGCATAGAGAAAGCGTTGGTCAAAAATTGACATCGTGCTAGGTACGTAGGTAGGGTTATTTTACGTAAAAATTTTGCAATCTTTTTCATTTAAATGTGCGGAAATTTTCAAGTTTAAAGACGGTCAAGGTTTCATTCATATTCAACTAAACAAATATTCATTATGTCATGTTTAAGTTTTTATTTTGGCGAGTTCAGAGAGCTTTATTTGTCATCTGAGTAATATATATCAGTCACGTCGTGCTTTAAATCGCATTTGGCGCCCCATTGATGGTAATTTGTTTGCTTTCCACTATAAAAAGAGGTCATATAATGTTTCATTTCTTACACTGCGAATAAGGCTGATCGTCCACTGGAAGCAAAACAAGCGACATGAGCGTCAACCAGCGACTATGCGCGGCAGATCCTAAACATTGTATTTTAATGTAAGCTCGTCCACTGAAAGCAAGTTTGAGCGGGTGATTATGAGCGTAAACGTGATTGCGCTACAATTCCGAACAGTATGGGATTTACGCTCGTAGCCGCGTCTGTCTGCAAACATCATTCAGCTATATAATTTAGTTAGATTCTGTTCTGATGATTGCATTTATAGAATTGAGGATGTATAAATGGGTCTGAGGACCCATTCGGTAATAGTAAAAAAATTTCGGAGGGTCGTTCTCTAATTCACGATGGAGACTGCATTCGCCGAGACGCGCCCTTTTGCAATATAGGGTTTACCCAATACAATCTTCTTCTTTGACTACTTTTCCGCCTCCTGTAAGAAGTTTCTAAAAAGTACGCCTCTTCCGCAACCATTTTAACATTAATCGTACAACGCACAACAACTATTCCACTTCGCTACTACTGAGTAATGAGACAGCTGGTAATGGACGACCCCCATCGCACAAAATCGCTTGTCTTATAGCCGCTTGTTGACGCTCGTGTCGCGTAAGCTCGAAGCCGTTTGTTTCTAGTAGACGACCAGCTTTGAGCTTTCCGTGGTAAAATTGTGTTCAGTCAGGAATGAGCTTTGCACGAAATTAGTATGTCGCTTTTAATTAGTCAAGGCGAAAGATCCGATTAGCGGCAGTAAAGCTAGTTTGAGCGATAGATTCTGGCTTTGGGGAGTCGACCGGGTCAGATCAAATTATATGCGTTTAGTGTAGCGGCTTTGAGAGCCTAAAAAATTGGCATTCGGGAAAATCGAGCTAAAAAAGAAGACGTAATCTAATTCAGAGCGACAATTAGTGTCAATGATACCTAGTAGTTTTTTTTTGTAATTTATCATTCTGCCCCAGTGGAAATCGTTACGCGAAAAAGTTTTCATTTTGAATTATAATCGCAGAAGTGCATGTTAGTTTTCGCTACCCTTAGCGGCATTGTGTGTTGTTTTCGGCCACATAGCGTACGAGGTTCATATTTATAAACAAAGTGCTATTCAGCAAATTCCATAGAAATTTGGCGCGCTCTACGCGGTGCCACAAAGAATAGAACACAACAGAAAGATACTCTCATCTCCCGTGTCAAGTGAAATTGCAATAAAGAAAACTGTTAGCAAGGTCAGATAATATTTACGTTTATTTTTGTGCCGCTAAAGATAAAATTAATCAAGATGAAAAGTTTACCAAAGGGATTTCCCACGCATTAAACCTAAAATTCAAGAACAAACCCCTAAAATTTTATGCTAGTGGTCGTTTCTTTTGCCAACCCAAAAGGATCAACCACCGAAATCTGCAATTCAATCGATAATCATCAAAGACGTCTTAATCCAAGAGCTGTTATGGAGTTATTCGTATCGTTGGGTTTTAAGAATGCATCCCGGAGATCACCTGTTAACCACCTCAACCCTGTTAGCTGTAAGAACTCCAGGTTTCCACATTAAAGAAGGAATTTCGCCCAGAAAAAGTTCGTTATAAAATTGTATGACTTTTTTATTTATTTAAATCGACAACATTCCGATCCATTAGACCATTTTGACCTATTACTATTACCTTTTAAACTGTATGAGAAACTAGGGTGCGATTAGAGTGTAAATTAGTAACGATCCTAATGCAAATTATTGAACGAATCCTTATTAGTCAAAGAATGGCCACCTCTACATAGGATTTAAATATTCAGATCTATGCCAGGTAGAAATTTAATATTTAAATCATTTTATAAGAAGCAAAGTAATTAAGGAGATGCATCCTTAAACTTCCTCAATATTTTTATCAATATACTAAAATTCATTATTTCCGTTGTTGTCATTGTGCTGGACAGTACTGGGTGACCCAATAGGACTGTTCCTCGGCCATATCTCGGGAACCGTTCGTCGTATGACTTAGGAGTAAAAAAATTATCGGTAAACCGGTCAAGAAGAATCGCTGGAAAATATTTTCAAGTTCTAAAAATGACCACCAGAGGGCGTAACTGCCATCTTAAATTTTAAAATTGCATTTTCCTTAAATTGCGCATAATAAACTAAAAATTGTTTTTCACATTTTTAAAGAGAACCAGTTTATCTAATTTTCGTGAAAAAAAAACAACTCAAAGATGGTGTGGGGCGTTCAATTGTTTTTGCAATAGCCTGCTTTAACTTCCTAACGGTTTGACCGGTTTTAAAAAATTTGGTATCGTTGAAAAGAGCATTGCTTCGGCAATAAGAATCAAAAATATAGTTAATTTAGTTGAATCCTTCTCTAGACCAAAACCGCCTACGGTAAATAAATTAGAGTGCTATGTATACTTTTTGCCAAACACCAATTTTGTTGGTTACACTAATAAACATGAACGTGGTATTACGAAACACATTTAATATTGTTATAAATTCAGTTTTTATGTGTGCAAAATTACTTAATAATAACAATTATATTTAGAAAATGAATTATTTTGTAAAGAAAGCCTACCTTTGACAAATTGTGTATATAACTAAATAATAAACAATTATTCCACTAATTCAAATATCGCGCTTTTTCTATGGTTATTATCGTGGCATAATTTTTTGTAACTCTGATGTGACATGCATTGTTCACCTGTCGTTTGAAGTTGCACTAAAGTAAACATGAATTTTCTTCCACTCTTTTTCATAAGTGTAGGACTGGTGCTTCCACTGGGTCTGAACGGAAATGTGATAGAATTAACAGACGCAAATTTCGATGAAATTACGTCGCAAAACAAGATTATAGTTAAATTTTGTAAGTAGTTGTGTTAATTATGTTCCACGGAACATATTTCCGTTTTAGATGTGCCCTGGTGCGGTTACTGCCTGAAAATCAAAAATGACTTTATTAGTTTGGCTACAAAATTAAAAGATGAGAACTCTGAGATACAGGCGGGCGAAGTAGACTGTGACAAACAACGTCGTGCGTGTAAGGGCATTAAAGGTCTTCCTACATTGAGATTCTATCGAAAGGGATCACCAACCCTCTACTACACAGGTACATTATGCTGATTATAAAGTAATTGTAAATGATTAATTTTTGTGCAGGACCACGGACCCTGAATTCCATGTATAAATTTCTAACTACTGGCGCCTAGAGGAACAGAAAGTAATGTAACCGTCCCGTGTCGCATAAAACATTTTTGTGTCTTAGGGACAGGAGTTTGCTGTTATTTTCTGGATAAAGGTTTGATATGAGCCATTATCTTGAGACCATAGATACGCATATATTTAAAAAATAATGTTTAAAATTTCATTCACTGTGGGTAAGGATGTGCTACAAATGGCACAATTAAAAAGTAATTCCTGTTTAGTGTTTTTAACTCGTATAGTGTCAAAAACGAATTTTAAGCCATACATTCGCCACGTGACTACCTTCGAAACACAAGTCGGAAATGGGTACCCACAAAGGGATTGGATTATGGATAACGATAGAAAGGTGGACATGGCCAATGTGTACTTAGGCCTCAAATTCAAAAACTAGCAGCGAATTCGGCTTCCGGCTACGCAAACGGAACTTCTTCGAACTACAAACTCACATTAGGCGAAACTTTCAATGCTGGCTGTCAACAACAACCAATCATACACAGTTGACAACAAAGACTATCCCCTCAACGTACATTAGTAGACGACTAAAAAATAGAGGTCGAATAATGTTTATAAATCAATTTCTTATCAGAGATTAAATCCAAACTTAAATTCTAGGAAAAATAAAATTTCATCTCTCTTAACTACACAGAAAAGGCGAAAAATCACATCCACCTGTCAATTAAATTAAGCATTAACAATTGATAACAGATAAAGACCAAACAAAATTCCCAAACATTTCTACGTTAAATAAAATAAAAATGTAAACGAAAACAACCTTGACCGCTTTCTCGTATGACACAAATAATCTCCATGCCGTTACATAGACCAACGACAAAATAATAAAATTTAATTACGAAAGTTAATTACACAGAAGGAAACCGCCCTTGTCCATCTTAATTAGGATGTCCGAAAATGTCATCCTGCCATACGAAATAAACACAGCAATATACTTACGGGAATGATTGGGATGAAACAAACAGTAGATGCTTATTGTCTATTGCTGGATCCTCAGGCGATGTTAAGGGCGACGTATGGAAGGGTAGAAAATAAGGAGAAAATAGGGTGGAGTGGATTGGAGGAACGAAATTCAAATGGTAGGTGATGTGCAGAATAGTGAAAGGACTCTTTGCTATTAGATAGGGGAATGAGAACTTTCATAATGTTCAGAACTTCTTAATTTAATTTCTTAATTCTCTGTGTACTGCGATTGATGATATATTGTGTACCATCATCATCATGCTACATAATACTTACTTATGTAAGTAATTATGTGTATTACATCTTTAAATACCTACATACCTATTCTGCATATGTCTTTGCAATAAATTACCTACGTATTTTTGTATGGATTTTCATCTTTCGAAAATACCTCAACCCGTTGGATGAGGTTTCATCAAAGCCACTTTTTTGTGAGAAGCAACTATCTCACTTTCGTTAACAGTAGTGACGTCACTACTGTCCATTTAATTGCCCTGGACGCAAGCGACCCGGCCGCAAGTGCCCATAATTCGCTTTCCTAAACAAAACCAAAACTATGGTTTTAATAAATAATAGAAGGGATAAATATTTAAACAAATTTCATAATTTTTGCGCCAAATTCGCCGTTAACCTCCATGCGTTTGCTAACAAAGCATTTCCTTGTTAACACATTGAAATATTTATTGAAAAGTGAACGTTACATAATCCTTGTCAAGAAAATATTAATGATAACATTAATCTTCTTTATTTAAACATCAAAGGAAGGATTTTTGAAAAGTTAAAATAAATTATAACCAGTTAAAAGGTTGTCAAAATTGATTGAACCATAGTTGTTTCTATTGTATTACTGGCACCCACTTTGAAAAGTAACGAATTGAAATTAGAACACATTTCTACTACGGCATTTTTTAAAATTGAACAGATTAATAACCATAACTCATTGATCGCATAAATCACGGTAATGGCTTAATTAATTATAGCCAAGAAATTTTCGACTTGATATATGGCGCTCATTTCGTTACCCCTATACGTTACGTACTACGCGAAAATGGCCTTATTATAAAAATTGTGAATTTACATTCAGACGAATAAATAAATCCAAAAACGCCAATTACAGCGGGCCGTAAAATTATTTTTTATGTTTTCGACCGCTGCGCTGTGTGGCCCCGCTGAGCGTGTGACACGTGCTTTACGACAACAAAATCCTTTATCTAATAAACCTAAGGACTAACGTCGACACGTCCACATAAATAATGTCAAATCAATATTGAGGAAACCCGGACGTACTCAAAAGTCGCAATTATAAAGCAATCAGTGGTTTCTCCAGAAATTGGTCGTTTCGGCGTTTGCCATATGCCATTTTCGTTAGTTTGTATCGTGTCATTTCTAACTAGATCTATCAGTTTGGCATCATGTGAGGTCCCAAACGAAAAAAAAAAAAATATGTACGTGTAGCAATGCGAGGGTACACAATTCGTGATACAGAAAATATGGAATTAATTTGCATATTAATTTAAAGATTAAACATATGCTCTGTGTCTTTAATTAAACACGAAAGACACGGGGAAAATAATCCCCGCAATTTATTAATTAGCTTATACTATTCGTGAAATATTAACAATCGTGACTTAGGAATTTTCGTAATGCGTTTTACATGATGTATGTTGCATTTAATTTTATTCGCGGTGTAATCCTCTTTGCTTAATTGTTTTACTTAAAAAAAATCCTTTCACTCGCGTGTACGACGGGGACAATAATTTTCCGTTCGTTTGTGTGAAATCCTGACCTTACCGAACTCATTAATATTCATGCAGGCGGTATCGTTCTCCTAATGCGTTCGAGGGAAATCAGCATCACTTCATGTTTGAAATGAAATGTCAGTTCATTAATAATATCAATAAGACACGTAATGTTCGTGTAAACAGTTTTAACCAATTATACAGGCATGCGATTTCTGTGCAGGTATCCCCATCTTCACTTTAATTATCCATTAACTTTGTTGATTCTTGGCTGAAAGCGTATAGCCTGGCTCTGTGCAATTAAGTGCACGATCGGTAACTACCGAAATTGAACACCACAAATTTTTGTTTAGCATGTCTTATGGGAAAGAGGCGCGTGGTCATAAACAAAATCATTCCTTAGTTGATTCTAGGTCAGAAGCCAAAAGGAGGCACTTAATGTAGATCAATCATTATTTATTCGCCTGCCAAGAGTACTACTATGGGGTCTTGTTAGGCAATGCTATATTTTTAATCCTAATCGTTTAAGATCGTGAATTATTTAATCAGTCAACCACGCATTTAAATTTAAAAGCCTTCTACTCCGATTAACATACCATAACGTTGCTATTTTAAGAGAACTAACCAGGACAGGAGAGCATGGTTTTGTGGTCGATTCAGGATATTGTCTGACGATGGTGTATGTACATACGCGAACAACCAACGCAAAGGTGTATTATACTAATAGCGAAGTAGATTACTCTTGTATTTTGAAGTGTATGTTCTGTTTACAACATCCAAAAGCTACCAGATTTAACGGAAGCCTTCTAATGGGGTTGAATTATTTTAAATTCGTTAAAGTTGCGCAGTTGTAGGTATTGAGTATCACAAAGTATATAGTAGTCCAGTCAAGTTAAAGAAGAAAAATAGGAGTACCCTTGCATACATTCCCAAAAAGCTGAAAATTCACATGAAGTTCGCAAAAATGGGTTTTCTGGATTTTTGAGCGAAACGGTTAGTTTTATTATAAACATAGTTCAGACAAAAATTGTAGATCATGCAATTATATACAAAAAATGTCCTTACAAGATGTCCTAAGATTCAGTACTTCTGAGAAAAAGCGATTCCAAAATTTACTACACGCCACCTGTAAGGTAGTGTACTTGTACGTGTTTTTTAACGTGTTTTCCCCAGTAGGCCTACTCCACGGTCTATTTTATTTAATCCTAGTAGAATAATAGGTCTTCTCATTCAATTTATTCTTCTTTTTCATCTTCTCTTTCTCCATAAACTTCTTCTTGTTTTTCTTCGTCTTCTTTTTCCTGAGTCGACGTAAATTGTCCAACCAGTGATATATCAGGTGTTTCGTCGTCGATGTAAGGATCAATGTAATTAATTAATTAATGAAAGTCAAGCCTCTGCTCTTAATTAACAAATACATACATCAACATTATGTATTGTTATGTGGTGTTTCATACTGTTATACTTACTGTACTTACTTATTTTAAATTCTGTAGGGACGTCCGCCTACAGTGGCCACTCTGGTACAGTGGCCACATTTTGAAAAAAAATTCAAATACTGTTACATTATACTGCCATCTAGTGTGGTGAAAGTGCAGGTGTATTTGCCGGTTTTATAAGCATTTTCAAGTCAGTTGGAAGATGAATAGTGTTCGTGTACGTCCATGTTGTTTTTCATGTGCATAAAGTTACTTTTAAAAGAAGTTGAAGGAGGTTTTTAATAATAGCCGTCACAGATATCTATATATAAATCATACTACATACACATACAACCTTGGATAACGTTAAAATATCTGCGACTAGGTAAGAATTTGTAGCACAATTATTACACGCCATTTTTATTAGAAGTTTGCATTTGTGTACAGTGGCCACCATTTGATGCGTTAACTGTGGCCACCCCTTTGCGTTTTTTAAAACGCATGGCCACTGTACACGTTAATGATAAATGAATAATATTTATGGGATTACGTGATTTTCAGATCCCTATTTTGCCTAAATGCCGCGAAAAAATATTAAAAACATTAAAATAGGACAAACGAGTGAGGAAGCGATGAGAAACGCTGTATACGCGGTTTTCGAAGGCGGTTTGTCTGCCAAAGCAGCAGCGATGCGTTATGGTATTCCTCGTAGCTGAAAAATCAGACTGCAGGCAAAGACTGGTTCATTAATTTTTTGAAAAGAAATCAAGATATTTCTATCAGAACAGCAGAAGCAACTTCACTAGGAAGAGCTATGGGATTTAATAAACCGGTGGTGTCAAAGTTTTTTGAAAATCTTCATAGCGTCTTGCAAAAACATAAATTTGATGCATTTCAAATTTTTAACGTCGATGAAACTGCCTTGACAACGGTGCAAAATCCTAACAAAATTTTAGCAACTAAAGGTCAGAAGCAAGTGGGCGCTATTACATCTAGTGAACGAGGCACACTGGTGACAATGGTAGGTGCAATAAATGCGGCAGGAAACACAATTCCGCCAATGTTAGTGTTTCCGCGTAAATAC